ACAGCTGCAGCTCCAAAAATGTGTATATCTTTGAACTTATAAATACCAACTAAAACAGGATCCTTGCAATTATTGAAAAATAAAATGTATTCAGTCTGATACAGAACTTTTAACTATGCATTAAGAGACTAAATGCAAGGAGAAATATACATGCATATGCACTAGAATTAGCCCAGGAACCCTCTGGATAAAAGGAGGGGCTCATTATACACTCTTTGCTCTCCTATGAGTAAATCTTTCCCATATGTATTTTAGTTTAATAAGGAAGCACTGGACAGGAGACCCTTTTATATAATTTTTCCCACTTTACAGAGATTTTTCAATTACCATCTCCTTTTGGTTTACTTTTCAAAGATCTCAACTCAAAAAAGCTTGTTAGAATCTAACACAATTCGTTGTTCATTCATATTTAGGTTTGTATCCATGAAATATCAGTCTGCAACAAGTACTTAGCAATTGATTCAGGTTACCTCCAACTTTTTTTGGTTCTTTTAAAACTGAGAAAGATTCTGGATAAAAAACAACATAATAGCAACTTACTTCTCATCCATTGTCAGAGTGACATAGTCAGTAACTGCACGATATACGCGGTCTACTCGGAAACACCGTAAAAGCAGCAACTTCTGAAAATACGTGAGACTGTTTTGGTATTGCATAGGAAATGATGTTTGTTCTAGGGCATCAAGATCATACCACTGAGAAATGAAATACAGCAGAGAACATAAGATGATGATCAGATGGACAAACCAACCAAGTTTACTACAAAAGACAAAGTCAATCTGATAAAAAGACTGTAACAAGAGAAATGGGGAAACAGAAGTCAGAAAAACCAATTACAAAAATAAATTAGAAAAAATATTAAATAAATGCCACAAGTCAACTTTTCAGTATACAGGCAGTCCCCGACTTACGTGGATCCGACTTACGTCGGATCCCTAGATACGAACGGGGTGAGGCAACTCCCGCACATGCGCAGCAGCATTCCCGGGGCTCACTCACCTGGGTCCTAGGATCCTCCTCCTCCTCGGGCCGGCTCCGACTGGTGTCCCGCAGAGCTGCCGGGCAGAGGAAAAGTGCCTCCCCATGCCCGCTGCCCCCCCCACCCCTCTGCCAGCAACAGGCTGCCCCCTCCCCTGAGCAACAGGCTGCCGAACAGACAAAAGCAGCCTCTCTGCCCCTCCT